TGTTCTATTCTCATTTCTATTCTATTGTTTCTGTTCTATTCTATAGCCTTCTTTAGAAATAAGATTCTATTCTTATTTTTATTCTATTCTGTACTCTTCTTATTTCTATTCTATTTATTCTATTCTATACTCTTCTTATTTCTATTCTATTTATTCTATTCTATACTCTTCTTATTTCTATTCTATTCTTATTTCTATCCAATCCTATCCTATCCTATCTTCTATTCTATTCTATACATTTCTATTCTATTTATCCTATCCTAATTTCTATTCTATTCCTATTTCTATTATTCCATTCCATATTCCATTCTATATTCTTTCTGTTCAATATTTTCTTTTTTATTCTATTTCTATTCTATTCTATTCTATCCTATCCTATCCTATCCTATCCTATCCTATCCTATCCTATCCTATCCTATCCTATCCTATCCTTAATTAAGGGTGTGTGTGTGTGTGTCTAAAATGCCATTTCCCGCCCTCTTTTCCCCCCCCCCAGCAAAGAAACAAGGGCAAAGCGGGATTATCTCCTGCATCGTGTTCAGCCCGACGCAGCCCCTCTACGCCTGTGCCTCATATGCAAAGACCGTCGGCCTCTACTCCCGCGTCGAGGGAGACCCCTTGGCGATGCTCGTTGGGCACCACGGGGGCGTCACCCACGCCGTCTTCTCCCCGGATGGCGTTTACCTCTTTACTGGCGGTCGTAAGGTGAGACCCGAGGTCCCGGCACGGCAGGTGTCGGTCTCTCGAACCCGGTTCCGGGGTGTGTGACTGGTTGGGGGAACGGGAGAAGGGAGCCGGGCGCGTTCCTCCTCCTTTTCTTTTTTTAAAGCCGTCTCGATCTCTCCGGCCAGGACGCGGAGATTCTCTGCTGGGACCTCCGGCAGCCGGGCGAAATCGTCTTCTCGCTCCCCCGCACAGTGTCCACCAACCAGAGGATGTATTTTGACCTGGATCCGTAAGTGATCGTCCCGAGGGGGTTCCTCCCCCTCCTCTCCTGGTGGAGGTGGTTTTTTTTCTTGGGGAGGGGTGCAGCCCGTGGAGGTGGGGGTGTCTCTGTGCTGGGAGTTTGGGTTGCAGACATTTCGTGACCCGACTAGGGAACGGCATCTGTGCTAGAGGGAGCGGGGATTGGTGGAGGAGGAGAAGCAGAGGGGGGGGGGGGGAGGGGGGGGAGAAAGGGGGAGGAGAGGAAGGGGAGGACGGTGAGGATAGGAGATGGAGGAGGGGAGGAGGAAGAGGGGAAGGAGGGGAGGATGATGATAGAAGGAGGAGAGGGAGGATAGAATAAAGGAGAGAAGGAGGAGGGGGATAGGAGAAGGGGGAGGAGGAGGGTGGGGGAAGAGGAGTGGGGGGATGGGAGGACGAAGAATGGAAGAGAAAGGAGGAAGAGGAGGAGAAGGAGCGGTGGGGAAGCCAGATTCACTTAACAGTCAGAAGGACAATAACGGAAGAGTGGGACAGGACCACCTAGTCCAACCCCCCCAGTCCCTGACTAGCTTAACCACGGCAGCGGTTCACTGAACCACCAAGAAAGGTCGTAACAGCTTTCTTGTTTAGCGACGGTGCTTTGGGGGGGGCTCCTATTTTGGCCGTAAGTCGAGGACTAGCTGTATTTCAAGCCGGTTTTCTGTGCTTCTCCCCCCACCCCACCCCGTCTCCCAAACAGGAGTGGACGGTATTTGCTGAGTGGGAGCACCAGTGGCCAGATTACAGTCTGGGACACCAGCCAGCCTCCCCCCGCGGACCCCCCAGCTACGTTGCAGCCGTTGCTGCGGTTCCAGGCCGTGGGAGATTGTGTGAACGGGATCAGGTACGGGGTTCGAACTGGGCTCTGTAATCCCACAGGGGTTTGTGGGGTGAGGAGGGACCCCCGAAGTTTTCAGAGTGTGTATCAGGGTATCGGAGTGCCTCTACGTCCCCTCCCCCTGGGATGGCGCTGCTCCTCAAATACTCTTTGTTTCCCCAAAAATAAGACCCGGTTTTATATTAATTTTTGCTCCAAAAGACACATTAGGGCTTATTTTCCATTTAGGTCTTTTTTGGGGGGGGAAATACGGTGCTAAATGCTTCTGTCTGGCTGAACATCTTAACTGGGGCTTATTTTCGGGGTAGGGCTTATATTATGAGTATCCCGGGGGATCGTGCTAGGGCTTATTTTCCAGTTGGGTCTTATTTTCTGGGGAAGGTGGGAAGCAGGGAAGACCAACTTTGGACCAACTTCCTCGGCTCTCTGGTTTCCTAGCGAGTGGGACTCCGACTCCCAGAATCCCTTTCGAGCACAGCTAAGGAATCCTGGGAGTTGAAGTCCCAACTTGTCAGGAAGAGCCCGATGGCCGTGCTCGAAAGGGATTCTGGGAGTTGGAGTCTACCATGTGCCAGCTGGGGAAAAAGAAAACAGTTGTTGGAAGCCGCCGAAGGTTGCCAGGTTGCCGGGTGACAAGAAAAGGAACAGATATATCTTATCTACCTATATAAAAGGGAAATACCCCTCGCGCATCATCACAAAATCTCCAGGACCGTAAAGCCTACAAAGTTGAAATTTGGCACATTATGTTCCTCTCGGCTTCTAGGGGCTCGCTAAGAAAGGATTTTTCCAAATGACCCTCAGAGCATTTAGAATATTTCCTATATTATTATTATTAACACGCTCTGGTGCTAAGGAGTTCGACTCCCTCTCCCGACCTGGGAAGAAATCTCTTCCAAAGGCAAAACAGAAGCAGAGGAGTTTCAGTCTTAGTTTCACAGCAGCACCAAGCAGCTTTAGTACAGAACGGTTGAGCTAAGCCACGTCCAGGCTCCTTGCTGTCTCCTTCTTGCTCACACAGCAAATACCCTTTCAGTTTCCAAACAGCCCTTCACTCTCTCACACGCTGACAGGACGCTAGCCAGATGAATACCGATGGATGCTGGTAGGCAGAGGCAGAATCCCCCCCCCCCCTTATTTTCCTCCCCCCAAATTAAGCCCGACCATATAAATTCGTAACAAAGCACGGGTATCAAACTAGTAAAGAAATAGATATATAAATAAGTAAATAAATAGCTCAGGTCTGATATTCCGAAGGAGGGAACCTGGTGGCCTTTGTACCATCTGCGTGTCCTCTGGGTACCCTATAGATCCCTTACGTGCCCTCTCATAACCCCTGTGTGCTGTGTGCCACTTACGGGCCCCCATGCAAGTACTGTGTGAACGGCTTCGTCTGCTCTGTTCTCTCCTAATGAGTTGGACTTCCACTCCCAGAATCCTTAGCTGTGCTCGATAGGGATTCTGGGAGTTGAAGTTCACCACGGGCCAGATTTGGAGAAGGAAAACGGCTCTTGTAGGTCGCTTGGCGGTGACGTGGTCACCATATAAATTTAATAAAGGATAGGATAGGGTTAGGGTTAGAATAGAATTAAAATTAGAATAGATAATAAAGTATAGAATAGTATAGTGTGGAACGGAATGGAACAGAATAGAATGAATAATAAAATATAGAATTAGAATGAAACAACAACAGAATGGAATAGAATTAAAGAATAGACTAGAATAGAAAATAGAATATAATACAGTATAGAACAGATCACAATTCAGAATAGAACAGAATAGAATTAAATAATAGACTAGATTAGAAAATAGAATATAATACAGTATAGAACAGAACACAATTCAGAATAGAACAGAATAGAATAGAATTAAATAATAGACTAGATTAGAAAATAGAATATAATACAGTATAGAACAGAACACAATTCAGAATAGAACAGAATAGAATTAATAGACTAGATTAGAAAATAGAATATAATACAGTATAGAACAGAACACAATTCAGAATAGAACAGAATAGAATAGAATTAAATAATAGACTAGATTAGAAAATAGAATATAATACAGTATAGAACAGAACACAATTCAGAATAGAACAGAATAGAATAGAATTAAATAATAGACTAGATTAGAATAGAATATAGAATACAGTATAGACTAGAACGGAACGGAACAAAACAGAATTCGAATTGAATTGAATTGTAGAATAGAATAGAATTAGAAGAGAAGGAATTATAAAAAAGTATAGTATTAGAACAGAAGAGAAAGGAAGAGAATAACTTAGAATAGAATTAATTAAGAAGAATAGAATCAAAAATAGGAAATAAAATAAGTAAAATAAAAGGCATTCCAGATGTGGCTACTTGGGGCAGCTGTGCCAACCCCGACTCCTCCTAATCTTTCCTTCCCCTTCCTTTCAGCCTCCACCCCAGCCTCCCCTTGTTGGCCACAACCTCTGGCCAGCGCCAGTTTCCCGACCTCCTGGACAGCGGAGAGGACGAGGCGGAAGAAGGAGGGCACCATCCAGCCACCCCTCCTCGGGCGCGGGGAGACAACGCCCTCCGGCTGTGGTGGTGCTCCGCGCCGTCGGGAGTCGAAGGGGCTGTTTCGTAGCCCGAGAAAACCAGACTCGAACCGTGGCCTCTTCTGTGGCACATGCGAGGAGCCGAACGAGAATCGCGGCACCCCCCGTGGTGGGGCTGCTCCTGGTGTGTGTAGAACCGGGCGCATGGCCATGATTTCCAAACGTGGTGTAAATCCTTCCACACGGACGGGGGACCTTGAAGACCGGAGCTTGTGCTAGAGACACAACCGCAAAGGGGCGTTTCGGGGGGCAGAAAGCTCCGAGGAGATTTCGGGAGGTGTCCCGAATCTTTCTTCTTGGTCTCCTTTCCTTTTTGATCCAAATGAAGGTATTGGGTCGTTTCCCCCCCCCCCCAGGGTTCTTTTCCCAGAATTCCTCGCTCCTCTGATATAACCGGCCTGACCTAGGCTTCCCAAGATCACGAAGCCGACTCCTCATCCCGATCAAAACCCCTTTTATTTAGGTTAAATGGAATTCCTCTCCAGCAAAGTCGCGGCCAACGGTCTTTCATGAGATTTCACAACTACAGACTACAAGCTCTCAGGCTGGGAGAGTTGCCAGGCTGATACCTTCTAAATGCCACACTGTAGCAGCAAGAAGTCAAGAACAGATCTTCTTCACCCTAATGAATTGAACTAATTGTCTCCTGCAAAACCCCACTCCTTTTTCACTCTTTATTCCCTCTGGGGGGAGCCGTTCACCGTCCACCCGTGCCTTTACTCCCGAGTCAACCCTTCTTTCTTAGCTTCCCTTCTCCTGGCAGCTCTGTGCATGAGCACACTGGGAACAGGCTCCAGCTGTTCTTCTTCCCCACTGATCTCTGACTCCGAAGGCAGCTGATGACTGTCGGACGGCCCTGGCCCCATCTCTGCCTCCGATGCAGAGCCCTTGTCCGAACCTTCCCCAGACTCCAGGACTGGCCCAGGTTCCTCCCCAACCTCCTCGCTGTCCGACTCTGCCGCCAGCTCCACTGGCCACAACAGTATCGGTGTTTTCTCCGGCTTTGCCCAACCAATAGGCTTTGGCCCTGAAGGCTTCCTGCAGATTTAAGCCAAAATTCCTTCTTTCCAAGATTTATTTTCAATGGAGGGGGGGGAACGGGGGGGGGGGGAAACCACGGGCTTACATCTTTTAACAAGAGATTGAGCAAAAATGTCTTCCGTAGGATTACATAGCATTTGAAGTCCTTCTCACCGCGTCGACCCCAAACTCCACAAGTCTCAATAAATTGGGAAGTCTTTTTAATTTGTTATTAATTTATTGATTTGTACCCTGCTTTTGTGACTTTCGTAAATAAGACGGCAAACGCTATCCAAAACACATTCCTCCTGTTTTTTCCAACAACAACCCTGAGAGGTGCGCTGGGCTAAGAGGGAGGCGTTGGCTCACCCAGGCTCATGCCTAGGGCGGGACTAGAACTCACTGTCTCCTGGTGATTGGGCCAAAGTCGTCAGCTGACTTACGTCTAAGGCGGGACTAGAACTCACAGTCACCTAGTGATTGGCCCAAAGTCACCCAGCCGGTTTTCATGCCTAAGGCAGGACTAGAACTCACGGTCGCCTAGTGATTGGCCCAAAGTCACCCAGCCGGCTTTCGTGCCTAAGATGGGACTAGAACTCCCTGTCGCCTAGTGATTGGCCCAAAGTCACCCAGCCGGCTTTCGTGCCTAAGGCGGGACTAGAACTCCCTGTTGCCTAGTGATTGGCCCAAAGTCACCCAGCCAGCTTTCATGCCTAAGGCGGGACTAGAACTCCCTGTCGCCTAGTGATTGGCGCAAAGTCACCCAGCCGGTTTTCATGCCTAAGGCGGGACTAGAACTCACTGTCGCCTAGTGATTGGCGCAAAGTCACCCAGCCGGCTTTCGTGCCTAAGGCGGGACTACAACTCCCATTCTCCTAGTTTCTACCCCGATGCTTTCACCCCCTGCCAACCAAATTAGCACCTCCGTATTTGGGGAGCCATTTTCCGCTAAGTTGTTCCCCAAGAGGGCTCCCCAAAATGGAGACTGGTGCGAGTTGAGCACCCTCCGTCTGCCTCCCGCTTCCACGTCAACTACACACCCCATGTTGCAGGAGGTGGCACCCCACAGCGGCCCCAAATCAGGAGAAAGCGTAGTAGTACCACCGCCTTCTCAACTAGTGAGATCCGTCCTCCCGGGGAAACAACGCCGCTTACTCTGCGTTTCTCAGAGCGTCCGGCCGGGGGGAGAAGGCGACGCAAGGGAGGAACACGCCTGCTCACCTGGGGCGCCACCTGCCCGGTGACGCCGCTGGGCCTCTCTCCTCGGAGGGGGGATCCCCCCCCAACCCCTCTGCACCCGATACCGGGGCTTCACACCCTTCTCTCCCCCCTACTTACACTGCTTCTCCCTCGCCCAGAGTCGGGGTCTAACCCTGCAGTGGATGTACTCGGCCCGGGGGGATTACGTGCGGGCCGCCGAGAAGCTGCGCAGGGACATCTACACCTCGGAGGAACACAACGAGCGGCTTCTGCGGATGTTTAACGTTCGCATCATGCGGGTGAGGCCGGGTTGTGGGGGGGGGAAGGTCTTTGGAGGAGGTCTGGGGGCCCGAAGGTTGCCAAGAACTGCAATCCCTTCCTCTGCCATCTCTCCGCTGTAGCCTGTTTACTCTCTTTTAATCCCTTCCTCCGCCATCTCTCCGCTGTAGCCTGTTTACTCTCTTGCAATCCCTTCCTCCGCCATCTCTCCGCTGTT